TTTTTTTTTATCTTGGAATATCTTAAATTTTCATTTTTGAAGTGGGTCAAGTATTCACAGATGACAGTGTATTTCTTTTAGCACTTTAAATATACCATCCCACTGCCTTCTCGCCTGCAAGGGTACTGCTGATAAATTTACTGTTCACCTTTTAATGGCTCTCTTGTACATAACGAGTTACTTTTCTTTTACTGTTGTCAAGATTCTCTCTGTCTTTGAGAAACTCTTTTTGATTGTTTTAATGTGTTTTGGTATGGATCTCTTTAGATTTATCTTACTTGAAAATTGCTGAGCTTCTTATACTGTATATTCATTTCTGTCTTCAAATTTGGAAGTTTTCAGCCATTATTTCTTCAAATAGCCTCTTCAACCCCTTCCTCTTTCTCTTTCTGTTCTGCTACTCCCATTATGCCTATATCAGCATAGATAATGTTGCCCCATGAGTCCCTTAGGCTCTGTTCACTTTTCTTCATTCTCTTTTTGTTCTTTTGTTCCTCAGACTTAATCCTTTCAAATGACCTGTCATTGAGTTTGCTGATTCTTTTTTGTGCCTGATTAAATTTGTTTTGGACCCATTTAATGAATATTTCCATTTGGTGTTTGTGTTTTTTAACTCCAGAATTCCTGTTTGATTTTTGTTTATAATTTTCATTTCTTTAATGATATTCTCATTTTGTTTCTAAATCAATTTCCTTATTTTGTTTATTTGTCCTCATTATCTTTGAGCTCAATGAGCATACTTAATGCAGTTTTAAAATTTTTGTCAAGTAATCCAAAGGCCTGTGATTCTTTTTGGTAAGTTTCTGGATATTTATTTTCTTCCTTTGAAAGGACTGTGTTTCTGTTTCTCTGTATGACTCATCATCTTTTGTTGAAATTTGGGCACTTAAAAATTAGATACCTCTCCCAGTCTTTGAGGACTTATCTCCATTCAGGGGAAGGCCTATACTAATCAGCCCAGTTTAAAGGCTTAGGGTCCATTCAAACTTTTTCTGGATGTGTGTGTTCCTAGGGCCTGTGCATGTGCTTTTATTCCCATTACCCATATACTCATGTGATTTTAAATATACTAGTTTCCCAAAGAGCTTTACTCTGCTTCTCAAAAGCCTTGAAAGTTCTCTTGTATTCTTGTGTCCATAATCTCTTGCCCCAAGGCACCATGTGTCTACACACCCCCTGCACCTTTCACCTGCCATTGCTTTGACCATTCCAATTAGTGTTTCATGGCAGGTGAGACAGAAATTAATCCTTTGGGCTGCCCATAGATGAGCCAGAGCATTGCAAGCAACTTCCACTCTTTTCCTTCCATCCTGATGGAGGAATTGGGAATTGGGCACCGTCCTCCCATTTGTACTGTGCTGAACTGGGGAGGAGGTGGGGCAAGGATGAGCAAAATCACTATGAATTTTTCTACAATTTTGGGTACAGTTTGTTTTGGTTAGACATTCACTTGGTTGCTCTAGCTTCTTACCTGTTTTATAGAGTTCTCACACAGTTACTTTGGTCCATCTATTTTATTTTTATTTATTGTTTCCATGGGAGAACAAGGACCTGGAGCTTCTAAGTTTGTCATCTTGCTGATATCACTCCCTGTGTCATTAAAATTACCTTACTTTTGAGATCTTCCCACCTACCCGGGTAATATTTTCTTGACTTAGGGAAAAAAATAAGTAATCTATTCCTCCAGCTAAACAAATCTACTTCTTCCTTTTTGTTTATTCAAGGTTCTGGTGTGGGATGTATAACCGCTTTGACAAAGGGCTGCATCCCAAGCAGAGTATGCTAGAGAGCCTGGTGAAAATTAAGAAGCAGAGGACAATGCTGGAGGCAGATGTGCACAAACTAGAAGAGGTATGGAGAAAATTCTCAAAATGAGATCCTCTTTCCCCTTCTGGGTAGGCCCAGTGCACTTGGAGTTGAATTGGTACTAGTGAGAAGCTGCCTGGTTGGCTTGTTATGATTTCTGGCTTCCAGATGTCCTGTGTCTACAGTGCTCTGAGGCACAACTCTTTTTCTTTCCATAGAATGTGGCAAATATCACACTCAGCTAGTTAAACAAGTGGATTGGTTCCCTTTTTTTTTTATTTGGATGTAATTATTAGGAGAAACAAGAGGAAGCAACAGGGAAGTCATATTGGCATGTTTGTTATCCATCAAGAGAATAAGTATAACATCTTGGGCGTACTGATAAGAACAATGAAATTGTTATATTTTCAATTAGGAAAACCTTATAAAATTCTCATTGCCTTCCCTGTAGATTGCAGACTGTTCATTGAGTGCTCGTGTTATGTGTGTTGATTTTGCTTTATAATAGCAGCAAAACCAAAGTCAGACACTTGTTTTAAATTATAGGTTAAACAAGTCAACAAGGATTTTCTTTCAGAATATGAAAAATGCTGAGCTGCTTCTGGACTCTGGGGGTCCTTCAGGGTGTGTCTGAAGGAGATGGGAGGGGTACTTCTTAGGAAAGAATTCTTGAAAATGTTGTGCTATTTAGGAATTGGGTGTGAACCCACTTTAGGGCAAATAAGGCATAGCTTTTCTTCCTCCTAAAAGTAAACAAATACCTTTTATTATGAAAATAAATGTATTGTGATTACATCAGATCTCAAACTTTTGAATGTCCTCTTGGGAGGCAATAGTCAGTTACTTTGTTCCATTTTTTAAAAAAGAAGGAAAACTGAAGCATGACTTAAAATTATAGGAAACAAGGTAAGCAAGCAGTCCTGGGTAGACCAAGCCCTAGGCAGAACTGAGAAGTAGGAAAACTTTCCTAGGTTATTCTGCCTTCTCTTTTAGCTGTTAACAACTGCCCCCAAGGCGGATCACTTATTCTAGACTCAGCCCTCTCAACTTATTCCTGTCTGATTCCTGAGAGAGAATTCAGTTCATTCTAGATAGAATCAGATCATTCTCTGATTATAAAGTAAAATATTAAGTAAGTTTTTAAAATATATATATATATAATTATTAACATTCTTTTTTAATTCAGAGAAGAAAAGCAAAAGTTGCCCATAATATTATTACTCAAATAACTCTGTTGATGTTTTTAAAGGGCTGTTAAAGTGTAAAGTTAGAATATGCAGAATATAAAAGCATACAAGATGAAGAGAAGTTTAAAAGACTCCCCCAGCTACCTACCCATTTAGTTCTTTCCTCCAGGGGTTATCACTGTATGTGTATATCTGTGTCATTTTGTGATTTCTGGAAAAATGAAGATGATATGCCTATTCTCTAATGCAGGAGCTCTTAACTCGAGTCCATGAACCCATGTGTGTCCACAGATACCCTTTGATACATCTGTGAAACCCCTAAAATTATACCTGAAAACTGTGTATATGCTGTCTCATGCACACATATGGGTATGCTTTCAGTTTTCTGAGAGGGTCCATCATTTTCTTCAGATTTCAAATGGGTTTATGATCCCAGAAAGTTAAGAATCACTGTAATAAAGTATCAGTGAATCATTGTGTTATCCCTGAAAGTGAAAATATCCATTGGAGATAACATTGCTGTAGTAGACAGGTTATAGATTTTGACATTAAAAAGAAGCAGGGTCAGATACCAGCTCTACCACTTCCTATATGTATGAATTTGATTGACTAACTTAAATTCTCTGAGCCTCAGTTTTCTCATCTGTAAAATACAGCTTATACCTAACTAATAAGACTCTTGTAAGTATAAAAGGAAATACTATATGTAAAGTGTCTGGCACATAGGGGTATTCAATAAATGTTAGTGAGCCTCCACCTTGCCCTCCTGCTCCCAGTAATAAAATTGCATTCATCAGAAAAGAAGACTTTTATAGACACAATACCCTTGAGGATCTTTAATAGTAGAGCTTTTATTTATTTTTTTAAATATATCTTTATTGATTTCAGAGAGAGGAAAGGAGAGGGAGAGAGAGAGATAGAAACACCAATGATGAGTCATTGATCGAGCCCACAACCCGAGCATGTGCCCTGACCAGGAATCAAACCCTGATTGCCTGGATTCTAGGTTGACGCACAACCGCTGAGCCACACCCAGCCGGGCGATAGTAGAGCTTTGAAAGCACTATATCAAGTGATGAAGAAAATATGTTTGGGGGTAAAGTGGGTGGGTGGGAGACAAAGGTCATTTGCTACCATATAAGTGACAGTAGGCAGGATTTCTGCCAGTCTATGTGATATTTGCCTAGTTTTTCTTCTGTTTATAAGTCTTTTCAACCATTCCTTGCTCCCATGACAGAAATTAAAAGCCCATGATGAGCCACCAGAAGAAGTCTGTACCTGCTCTCAATTAGGAAACTTATCATCTCAGCATCTGGGAAGTCCTTTGACCAATCCTCTTGGTTTTATGGGAATCGATGGAGACCTGAATACCTTAATGGAGAATGGCACTTTGTCCAGGGAAGGAAGCCTCCGAGCTCATATGGATCAAGGAAAAAGCCAGTGTGCAGACTGCCACCATGACTGTTGTGGGGTTATGGCCAGCCTTAGGGCTATAAACATTTCTGAGGATGTGGGTGTCTCTGGAGACATAAGCATCTCTGAGGTCAAGGGTATCTCTGGGGCCATGGGCGTCTCTGGCAACACAGGCAGCTCTGAGACTCTGGGCTTCTCTGAAGACATCAGCATCTCTGGGGCTATGGGCTTATATGTAGGCATGGGTTTCTCTGGATGCATGGGCATTGCTGGGGAAATGGGCAGCTCTAAGGACACAGGCATCTCCAAGGCTAGCACCAAGGAGGAAGGCTGCTCCAAACAGTGAGCTACTCATCTGCTTCCATGTGTTGCACCTATAGCACTACAATGATCCTTGTCCCAAAGAAGGCTATACTGCTTTTCTAATTAGCTTAAGTGAATATGGCCAAGAAGCCCCTCCTCCCACTTGAGTCTGGAAGGGGATATAGGGACTTTACTAATTAAACAACCAGTATATGCATGTCAAGCAGTCCAGAATGTAGGCAAGAGAAAAAATATGTTGATGTTCTAGAATGGGATTTAACTTTAAAAATGTTGCCTTTCAGCTGAGATATTAGACTGGTTCTGTTATTCCATTTTCCTTCTATACTTTTTCACTTTCACTGCTGTAGCATGAGAATAAACTGGAAATATTGTCACAGTGGAGAATTAAGACCCTATTAAGAGGATGGAGAGATGGTATGCAACAGGTAACTGAATTGCAGAATGGTTTAAAAGAAAATTTTACTTTCAGGTATGTTTATTCATAGGATATAAACTAACATTATTGCTAATAGAGACCCTGATATTTGCCTGAGAAATAAATCAAAAGCATAACCCATGGACACAGACACTGGCCTGGGGAAGGCCTGGGGTGGGATGGATGCAAGGTGGAGGGGATCAATGGGGGTAAAAAGGGGACAGCTATAATATTTTCAACAATAAAGATAAAGAAACTTAAAAATAAAACAAAACCAAAAAAAAAACCACCATATGCCACCGAGAGTTTTGGCTCTTGGCAAAACATGAAAAAAATAAAATTAAAATAAAAGAGAGATCCTTAACTGTTGGCATGGATGCATGGGTGCTTGGTGGTTTAGAACATATAAGGGAATAGCTTTATTAAATTACACTTGCTCTCCCAAACTCACACCTCTGCTAGGTTTTATGCTTAGCCAGCTCCTCTTTTCATATAGTGCATGGGTAAATTTGAATCCACTACATTCTAAACTGATAAATTCCAAATTAGTGGGGTCTGAATTCATAACATTGATTATTAGCATTATCAACATCAGTACAGGAGACAATTGAAAATCTCAGTGCTTTAGATCCTCCCTGGCTTAAACAATGGTCTGTGTGCGCATCTGAGTTTTCCTAAAAGAGGCCTCTTCTTTAGTCTTTTTATGAAGACCAGTGGTTTTGATTCTCTAGACATCACATCAAGTTTGTGGATTTTTAGATACAATTAACACTACTTTTATTTATTTATTTTTAATTTATCTTTATTGTTGAAAATATTACAGATGTCCCCCTTGCCCCGCACATTGATCCCCTCCACCCCACATCCACCCCACCCCCGAGGCCTTCTCCACACTATTGCAATTGACACTACTTTTAAAATCTAGCCAGTTTATCATCTTGTACTAATGTACACTTTTCAAAAAAGTCCATTCTTGTAGCAGGCCTAAGTACTCCTTGGGCAAAGGATGTGTCTCTTGTTTTATTTTCCCCTTGGGATTGATACACTTGCTGTACATTTTCTTATTGGATATTCAGTCATGGTTTACCCACTTTCACATGCTGGGGTAGAGTAGGCCTCCAGCAGTTTGGGTCATGCAATATATATCGTCAGCATTTTCAGAACTCCCATTGCCTACAGAATCTAGGTCCTCACCCAAGATGTATATTTCAAATACTCTGTCTGGTTTAAGCTCAAAAATGAGATATCTTAATGACAGAGTCATCTCTGTTACTACCACATCCAATTGTAAACATAAACATTTCTAAAGGCTCACCTTATTAGTTACTTTTCTCTGTAAGGAAGAGGTGCCTTTTAATTTAACTGTTAAAAGTAGAAGAGAAGAGCCATTATGGCTCCTTGATTTCTTATCTATACATAGATAAACTATAGACAACCTTTCTCTTTAGAGGAAGAACACTAAATCGTGTTTTGGCCATCTTTTTATATATATACATAAACGTGTGTTTTTTACTTACCTCTTCTTGGTAGCTTTTTAAATTCTGTGTTTTTAAAGAACTAGTTCGTTTGAGTCTTTTCCATTTATAAGTAAGGGCCTTTTTTTTTTTTTTCACTCTTTTTGATAGTTGCCTTGTTCCTGTCATTTTAAACAATAAAGTGATTTTCTGTTGTATCTTCTCTGATCCTTCCATTTCCACAATTTAGTCCTTGGCTTGTATAACTTAAGTCATGAGATGTTTTCAGTTATAATTTGACTTCTTACTTCTGGGGAAAAAAGTGATTTGTACAAATCATTTTGATCTGGAGGCTCCATCTAGCCTGGCTTTGTGAAAGAAGATGTCAAAGAGGGTGACAGTACCAATCATCTGCCACAAGTGAGTCTGTTCGGGGTCTTACTTATACCCAGGGCCTTGCCCTATATCTCAATCTGAATTTTACAGTCTATTAACTAGCATGATATTCCAAATACAGTGTTTTAAGGTTTTTCTTCAGTGAAAGGAAAAAGGCAAATGGCAAGACATAGTTGTTTTGCAAATCCTATAAGAAGTTAGTCGCAGATGAATTTTTACACACCTGAAAAAGGGCAGTACATACTACCAATCCTTAGATCTAAAACAAAATTAATCAGTTGTGCAAAGGTCTTTTCAATATAGTTCTAAACTGAGAAGTGATAAGGAGCAACACTAGTACTACCAAAAATAAAAACAAAATTTTTAAAGACTGTCTTATATTTTTGAGAATCTAATGCCATGGGATCAATTTCAGCCTAAAGGCCTGTGAGGTGAATTTGTTTGATTGTTTTTCCTTTTATTTTCCAACATGTTCCATTAACACCTCCCTGTTTTACAATTGGATTTGAAAATGTGAGAGAGGAAAAAAGTTCAGTGGTATAAAAATATTTATACATTGTAAAAACCCAGTAGCTGTCTGTAGTCAGGAGCCTAGTGACAAAGAAGAAACTACTGAAAGAAAATTGTTGGTTCTACTAGAAAAAAAATATCAATTGCTTTCATTTCATACCCTCATATAGCACCTAGGCTATGAAAGAAATGTGATTCCCTCTGCCACTATCCTACTCTTCCAGTTCACTGAGTAGAAATTCCATTCTAATGGGACTGCTTCGCTTAAATAGGAAGGCATTTAACCACCTGTCACTTTCTCATCCACTAATCTGACAATTGCCTGTTTCCTATGCAAGTTTCACAGGCCTGGAATCCCTGCTTATCGTTTTCTAAGCATGAGGCAGGCTCTGTGTCTGTGCTTGTGGCCATGAGGGTGGGGGAAATTATGCATGGACACCTTTTTACAAATTAATTATTAAATTAGTTAATAGAACGACATATTCCTCATATTAATAATAAATAAAACAATCCTAAATAACAAAGCTTAGTAACAGCTAATAATCTGACTTTTCAAAGAAGTTCAGGGATAGGGTTTGCTGTATGAAAGAAAAACTGAAGCTCTTTTTGGAACTAAGAAGGCAAGAATGTAAAGCTTATGGTGCATGTATTGGCCACATGTATCTTTGGAAAGTCACCCCAGAAACCGTGTTCAATTACTACCAAGGCTGTTGTCATTGGCTGTCAACATGCAAGGACACTTTTGTATGAGACACACCTCACACTTCACTGAAAAAAAGATCTTTACCTCTTCCAACCAGAAGGAATCAAATCTTTTTAAGAGATGCTTTTCAAACCAAATGGTAAATATGTAAGTTTGGCCTGACTTTAGCAGAAAGTGAAGTTTAATAACAGTATCTGATCTTCGTTACTTACTGGCTTTTATGAAACACATAACACCTTTCATTGATGCTATTAAGCTTTGATATACCCCTCTGACAGCTGTCAGTATGTTCTCTGTATCTAAGAGTCTATTTCTATTTTGTTTGATAGTGTATTTTGTTCATTAGATTCCACATATAAGTGAGATCATATCATATTTATCTGTGAGTGGCTTATTTTACTTAGCATAATACTCTCCAGGTCCATCCATGCTGTTGCAACAAGTAAGATTTCCTTCTTTTTGACAGCTGAGTAGTATTCCATTAGGTAAATGTATCACAGCTTTTTTTATCCACTCATCTACTGATGGGCATTTGGGCTGCTTCCAAATCTTGGCTATTGTAAGTAATGCTGCAATGAACATAGAGGAGCACATATTGTTTCCAATTAGTGTTTCAGGATTCTTAGGATTTATTGCAAGAAGTCGGATAGCTAGGTCAAAAGGCAGTTCCATATTTAATTTTTTGAGGAAACTCCATACTGTTTTCCACAGTAGCTGCACCAGTCTGCATTCCTACCAACAGTGCATGAGGGTTCCCCTTTCTCCACATCCTCGCCAGCACTTGTTTATTGACTTACTGATGATAGCCATTCTAACAGGTGTGAGGTGATATCTCATTGTTTTAATTTGCATTTTTGATGATTAGTGATGTTGAGCATTTTTAATTTATCTCTTGGCTATCTGTGTGAGAAATCTTTCTATGAGAGCATTTTATAAAGCGGCCTTTTTTTTTTTCAAAGAGTTATGTAGGGAAATGTAAATTACCTTTAAGAAAAATACTTCTCTTAAAAAAGATATACTATACATCAGATTGGTTTATACCTGGGAAGATTGTTCTCAATTTCTCTCTCAGTTCCCAATGTATATGGTTTAGTGATACCTGTTGTGCCTAATCTTTTTCCCCACTCTCAGACCTCTTTTTCCCAGAATTCTATGTATAATACAGGAAGATATGATTCCAACCAAATCAGATTACTTTCTTCTAAGTGCCAAATCTTGACCTGTCTTTTATATACAAATTTAAAAACAAACAATAAGTAGACATGGATTAAGCCTTAAAGTTTTTCCTATGGGCTTATTCTTATAGACATATATATAATGTGAAAAAAATGGCTTGCTATTAGGTGATACCAGACAAAGGACAAAGGAAAAGATTTGGGGTTGGCCTTTTAAAGGCAGTTTTGTTTTCAAAGTATTTTATGGCATCATAGAAGCTTTGCCAAAGCAGAAAAAGAAAAGTAATTTCAAGCCATACAGAATATATCTTCCCTGATTCCCTGGCTGTGAGACAAGTCTATGCCTTCCCCTTAAATAGGAAATATTGGTTTTGTCACCAGTCACAGCAGCCCACATCTTCTTTAGATGTCAGTGCAAGTAAAAATGTGTTATATGCTTGTGACTTGTCTTCACAAAAGGCAAGTGTGTTTTGCAGGCAGTGGTCTAATTTAGGCCCATGTGACTTTCTGGGGCTAAACAAAAACATGTTCAGAAGTTGGCCTGTATGAAACCAACAGTTTCCATGTTAAGTCCAGTGCCCTGTTTCTTGGTGTTTTCTAAAGCTTTGGGGGTGGACTAAAAGCCTCTTTCTCTTCTAAAGCTGTATTGCCTTTCAATCATTTTCATGGCTTTGAACTCTAGAGAGCCCTACACCAGCCCTCACAGAATTCCAATTGTGAAGGGAAGTGGGGCAAAGGCAGGAGGGGAGAGAAGGTACTACAAAAATACACCTGGCCAGTTAAGCAAAAGGAGTATATGCCAGTTCAAGATGACCAGTATTCTAGTTATTTAAGATTTCATGTGCTCCAATAAGGTCCAAACTTGGTTCTCATTTTTAGGCAGTACTGTGACTGATATATTTTCTTTTAAAGCTTCTTTTACTATGGTGGAAACTGTTTCCCTAAAAATGC